GGGATTGGAATGAAAATTGACCTTTTCCAGTCCTGTGGCCATTGCTGAGTTTTCCAAATTTGCTGGAGTGTTGAGTGCAGCACTTTCACAGCATTATCTTTCAGGATTTGAAATAGCTCAACTGGAATCCCATCACCTCCACTAGCTTTGTTTGTAGTGATGCTTCCTAGGGCCCACTTGACTTTGCATTCCAGGATGTCTGGCTCTAGGTGAGTGATCACAGCATCGTGATTATCTGGGTCGTGAAGATGTTTTTTGTATAGTTCTGTGTACTCTTGCCACCTCTTCTTAATATCTTCTGCATCTGTTAGGTCCATACTATCTCTTTCCTTTGTTGTGCCCATCGTTGCATGAAATGTTCCCTTGATATCTCTAATTTTCTTCAAGAGATCTCTAGTCTTTCCCATTCTGTTGTTTTCCGCTACTTCTTTGCAGTGATCACTAAGGAAGGCTTTCTTTTCTTTGAATTGATCACTGAGGAAGGAGATATGGAATAATTTCTGCCATATGAATAAACAAAGGATATCACAGTTGTAAGCAATTGCAGCCACCAGGGAAGGTGAGCTAGTGAGCCCTGAGGGTATTCAGGATGGAAATAGCGCCTGCCATCTAGTAGCCATAAAACTGCAGCCATTCCCTATGGTGAGTCCTGAGGAAGCTCAGGATGTGAAAACAGGCTACTGGCCCCAGATAGTTGAGGGGCATATCAAAGGAATAATTTCAGTAAGCCTAATCTCTTGCATCTTCCTTTACATAGAAATGCACTAAATTTCTCAACTTGGGATATCTGGTTTTCTTTCAGTTACAAAACACTTTTGACATTCAGACTACCTAAACTTTGTTGCAAAACTTCTGTATAACCTGTCCCCCACCTCCCTGCCTCCTCAGAGCAGTTCTCTCAGGGTCACTTGAGCTGCTGTCTTCCGGACTTGAAGTCCTAAAAATTCTCACCAAACAAAACATAAAACTCAACTTCTAGGTTGTGAATGGTTTTTAAGGAGATTACAAATAAATATGTATGCACATGTATTTGTGTGCTATGTTCTGACTAGCTGGGTGATGAGGTGCTCTTTAAGAAGAGTGAGGATCAGAGTTACTCAAAGGTGCTCCCTTAAGAAGAGTGAAGACCCAAGGTTATTCCAACCTCCCACCTGGATCTGAGCCAGACCCTGGGGCAAGATCAGGGAGGAGATCCTTGAAGAATGTTGCAGGTAGATTTTTCCCAGTGGAAATGGTGGCTCGAGAGGGAGCCCCAGATTCCTCCAGCCGGTGCTCTTCAGCCTCAGACCTACCTCACTGGGAGCCAGACTGCCCAACCCAGCTTGCCTGAGCTGCAGTGACACCCTCAGCCGCATGGAGGCAGCATGACCTACAGCTCGGTGGCAGCAGCGATTCCCCACGTCCCTCTTGGCTGCAGCGGGCGGAGGTCGTGTGGCGGAGGCCGGCCCGAGGAGCCCTCGCTGATTGGCCGCGGAGCTGCCGCTGCCATGTTGGCCAAAGTGATGTTCTCTGCCAGGGCAACTGCCTCTGGCTGCAGCTGCCTGGTCGGTATGCACATGGTCTTCCTTCTTCCCCTCGCCCGGGGTTGGCGCTGAGAGGTGGCGTCCGGCGGGATGGAGAAAAGTAGGATGAACCTGCCCAAGGGGCCGGACACGCTGTGCTTCGACAAGGATGAGTTCATGAAGGTGCGCCCAGGGGTCTGGGCTCCCCGAGCCAAGGCGGGTGGCCTATCTTCCTTTTGAAATGTTGTTGCTGAATGATTAGACGCGGGATTCTTGGCCTCCGGAGGAGACGAATTCAATCCAGGGCCAGAGATGATGCTGGATCACTCATAGCTTTTTTTGTAATAAAGTTTTATTAAAGTATAAAGGAGATAGAGAAAGCTTCTGACATAGGCATCAGAAGGGGGCAAAAGAGTACCCCCCTCCTAGTCTTTAGCTGTACGTTATATAGTCACTCACAGTCTGTTAATGAAAAGAAAGGAATGTCATAAAATTTAGAATGGCACCAGATAATTCATCTCTGGCCATAAAACGATTGACTTGAGTCTTGTAGAAGGGCAGAATACCAACAAATAGTTTCACTTACATAGATTAGGGGAACAATACCTGAGTAAGTAAGTTAAGCCGTTTGGCGGAACCAACTTGAAGATAGAGTCTGGGGTTCATTAACATGGCTTAAGACAACATTTCCATAAGAAAAAGAAATGTATTGGTTAACTCAAGGTTTGAGAGTAGTTAGCTTCAGGTGAGACCAGGTGTCATGGCAACACAGCGTGTTGAGAGAAACCTCCTTTTAAATTTGTGTAGAGAAGAAAAGACATCGCTGGTTTGTTTCTTCCTGCCGCTTAAGAGAGATAAAAATGTCTGGCACCTGCAGCCTCTTTCCTTCATTCGGAGACCCCTGGCCTTCCTGCCTGTTACCCTCTCACTTTCCCTCCAGGGGCCTCCTCGGGCCACACACGCCCCAGATCTGCCCCCAGCGGGACCTCGCTGCCAAAGCAGTGGCCTGCAGGTGGGGCCGGGGCAGCCTGCTGTGAGAAGGCACTTCTGTGAAATGGTGCATAGTGACGAAAAGTCCTGAAGTGGTGTGCAAGTGGTTTTGAGCTAGGTGTAAAAGCTCTGGTTATTACCCGAGCCCATTCCCATGCAGTGCAGTCGGAATTGCCAGATCCTGGGCAGACAGAAGTTTGTTGCCGCCTTGCACCTAGAATCTCAGTACCAATGTATTGACCAAATCTCTGGACCCATGTCTCTACCCAGGGATTAGGTGGGTGGAAAAGGCACTCAATCGAAAGTTTTTCCTTAATGTTCAAATAAAGTTTCTGAATGGGATATTTACAAGATTAGAATTTTATTACTGATTTTGTTGCAGTACAACAAAGCAAACCATTTTGCTTCTCTAAAGTTACTCTACTTTTTATAAGGTGAACTTGAGGTTGGTCTGAAGGTAAATGTCAGCTTACATGAAGAGTTGAAATATGATGGATATTAAAGGTTTATCTGGCACAGCCTTGAAAGTGTCCAAGATTTTAATCAGAGCTGGGAGGAACTTTGCATATTCTTTTGGGGTAATGCTCTGGAACTGTACATACACCATCAAGAAATACAGGTATGCTTTATTTCTAAGGATTGGGGTTTTTTATACCACTTAGTGGCTGCTTTCAGCGTTAAAAAGTTAAATGGTTTGGCTCAGTAGACACTTAAACTTTTGAGCAACTGAATTTAAGTCTTACATTTTTTTTATGACTTAGTATGTTTTTTGCCTTTTAGCTTCATTAGTTTATCAGTTTGATGCTTGCATTCAGTTCACAGTCTCTGGTTTTAAACAGTATTTACATCTGTTCTTTTTTATAGCTGAGTAGTATGTACCACATGGACATGAGCTTGGGCAAACTTGGGAAGATGGTGAGGGCCGGGGAAGCCGGGTGTGCTGCAGTCCACGGGGTTGCAAAGAGTCAGACATGACTTGGGGACTGAATGACACCACATCTTTTTTATCCATTCCTGTGAACTTTTAGATTGTTTCCATGTCTTGGCCATTGCAAATAGTGCTGCAGTGAATACTAGGGTGCGTGTATCTTTTCAAATGATGATTTTCTTCAGATATATGCCCAGGAGTGGGGTTGCTGAATGATATGGTAGTTCTATATTTAGTTTTTAAAGGAACTTCCATATTGTTCATCAAAAAGAGTAAAATAATGCCATTTGCAGCTACATGGATGGACGTGGAGATTATCATACTAAGTGAAGTAAGTCAGACAGAGAAAGACAAATATATCATTTACATGTTGACTCTAATAAAAATGATACATGCACGCGTGTATGCTCAGTCTTAAGCAACTCTTTGAAACCTCATGGACTGTAGCCTGCCAGGCTCCTCTGTCCATGGGATTCTCCAGGAAAGAATCCTGGAGTAGTTTGCCATTTCCTTATCCAGGGGATATTCTTAACCCAGGGGTGAAACTCACGTCTCCCATGTTTCTTTGCATTGGCGGGGAGGTTGTTTACCACAGAGCCACCTGGGAAGCCTGAAAAGTGATAACAGATGAACTTATTTACAAAACAGACTCACAGATCTCAAAATTAAATTTATGGTTCAGTTACTTAGCTGTGTCTGACTCTTTGCAACCCCAAAGACTGCAGTACGCCAGGCCTCCCTGTCCCAGTGCCAACTCCCAGAGTTTACTCAAACTCATGTCCATTGAGTTGGTGATGCCATCCAACCATCTCATCCTTTGTCATCCCCTTCTCCTCCCACCTTCAATTTTTCCCAGCATCAGGGCCTTTTCCAATGAGTTAGTTCTTTGCATCAGGTGGTCAAAGTATTGGAGTTTCAGCATCAGTCCTTCCAGTGAATATTCAGGACCAGTCTCCTTTAGGATGGACTGGTTGGATCTCCTTGCAGTCCAAGGGACTCTCAAGAGTCTTCTCCAGCACCACAGTTCAAAAGCATCAATTCTTCGGTGCTCAGCTTTATTTATGGTCCAACTCTCATATTCGTACATGACTACTGGAGAAACCATAGCCTTGACTAGCTGGACCTGTATGGTTACCGAAGGGGAAGCATGGGGAGAGGTGATAAGTCAGGAGACTGGGATTAACATATACACACTACCATATGTGAAATAGATCAGCAGAGGTTCACTGTGCAGCACAGGGAGCTCTGCCCAGCACTTCAGTGACCCACGTGGGAGAGGAGCCCAGAGCAGAGCGGGTCCACATGTGCACACAGACGAGCTACTCTGCAGCACGCCTGGGACTGGCACAGCAGTGTATGTCAGCTGTAGTAAAAAAACTAAGTGATGTAGTTTAAGAAAAAAGCAGTTACATCTGGTCTTCTCCAGTGTGGCCATGTCATTTTTATCATGCAGGCCATCTAGACCCAGGAATAATGTACTCTTGTCCTTGTACAGTGAGGTTTCTGCTAAACCTCTGTGATGAAGGGCGTCATTTGAAAGGGAGTACCATGTGAGCTTGCCGATCCAGAAATGCTTTGCTCCTTCTGCTGGCTGAGAACTGTCCTGGAGCAAGGGTAGGAAGAAAGAGCATGATGAGGCGAGGTGTGCTGAAAGAAGCCAAGGCACAAGCAGAGATGAGGGGCTTTGTTCTGTTCAAGAATCTCAGAATACAGAGAGCTTAACTTGACCAACTTTGCCTTCTTCAAGGCTTCCTTCAGGCTCAACACCAGCATTCTTTCTGACTTGCTGGCCCCACCATGTTTCTTGCTCTGAACTGATAGAAAGCCTTTGGGAAGAGAGGCTTCAGAAAGTAGAAACCTCAAAATAAATTCTAAAGTAGACCTTGATGAAGGGGAGAGCAAACTGGGGAGGTGGCTGAAATGGCAGCAGTTTCATATTCTTTCATGCCTCCTAAGNGTGGAACTGGCATCTGCAAGACCCACCAGGCTCATGATATGAGAAACAGCTTTTGAAGGGCAGCATGAACTTGGTCACCCTCCTGGGGCCTGGCACAGGGACAGAGGCTGAAAAGGGCCCAGACTTTCTGTGAAAGAGGCTTGTTTATCTTAAAGCATCAGCCTGAGGGGCCGGCCTCTCATTTAACATTCTCTGGGGGCTTGGAGGCTGGCAGGAGCCATCTTTGCCCTCTCTGCCTCATTCCAGCTGGACAGTATCTCCTAGAAAGGAACTTGGGTACTTGTCTGGTGCCCCGATGTTTGCAGTTGCTGCCCAGAGACAACTGTAGGTCACCTGGCTTTGGTGGCCAGTGAGGCTTACACCTGTAGGTCCCCAGTGTTTACTGCAGTATTATTTGCAATAGTCAAAACATGGAAGCAGGCTTAATATCCATCGATAGATGAATAGATAAAGAAACCATGATATACACACACCATACACACACAGAGGAATATTATTCATCCATGAAAAGGAACTAAATCTGGACTCCCCTGGTGGTACTGAAAAGAAAAAGTTAAAATTTGACATAACCTCCTGCTCATTCTGACTGTGTAACTCAGCTCACTCCTTGCAAAGTCTGGATCAGGTAGGTCACGCAGTCTCAGAAAGTGGGGATTTAAGATATGAAGCACTGGAGCTTATCTCACCACCCTTGTCCTGCTCTTTGCAACTCCCCAGCCCCTGTAAACCTGCTTAATCATGCCTTTCCATGTAAAGGTCAGGCGTTCCCCTCCCCATCTTGACTGCTGTTCCCGTGCACACAAAACTGCTTCGTTTAAACCAGCCTATTAGCAGCTAGTGTTGCCCATTATAGTCTGTCTGTGAAAACTCTGTAACCCCTCTGTTTGGGGCTCAGAGCTTAGAGTGTTAACTGCTCTGGGCCCGCTGGCGTAGTAAATGTGAGTTCTCCAACTCTCCGAGTGTGGTGCTTGGTTTCTCGAGTACTGGTTTCTATAACAGTACAGTGGCTAATAATCTGCTTGCCAATTCAGAGTTCACAGATTTGATCCCTGGTCCGGGCAGATTCAACATGCCACAGAGCAGCTAAGCCTCTGGGCCACAGCTACTGTGCCTGTGCTCTAGAGTCCGTTGCCCACAGCGAGAGAAGCCACCACATTGAGAAGTCTGCAAACCGCGACACAGAGTAGCCCCTGCTCGCCACAGCTAGAGATAGCCCGCAGGCAGCACTGAAGATGCAGCACAACCAAGAATAGTAAATCAAAATATTTTCAAAAAAGAAAGCTTGCCATTTGTGGCAACGTGGATGGACCTTGAGGGCATTAATGCTACATGACATAAAATTAGAGGAAGATGATCACGATGTCACTTTTATGTGAGATCTATAAAACAAAACAAAAATTAACTCAAAGGTACTGAGAACAGTTTGGTGGTTGCCAGGGCAGGGGGTGGGGAATGGACGAAATGGGTGAAGGGGTCAAATGGTACAGACTTCTAGTTAATCAGTTAAATAAGTCATGGGGATGTGATGTATAGCATGGTGACTATAGTTAATAATACTGTACTGTATATTTGAAAGTTTAAGAGAGTAAATCTTAAAATTTACCATAGCAAGAAAAGGAAATTTGTAACTGCGTGATGGATGTTACCTCATCCATCCTCACAGTGAAAATATTTGGGAAAAAATTCCAGAAAGTTTCAAAACACAAAATTTGAATTTGCTGCGACAAATAGTTGGCAACTCTTTACATAGTATTTCCAATGATCTATATAACATTTACATTTTATTAAGTGTTATGTAATCTAGAGATGACTTAAAGTGTATGTAAATACTGTGCCATTTTATTTTAGAGACTGGGACATACCTAGATTTTGGTGGCCTTGGGGGTCCTGAAAACAGGCCCCCATGGATGCTGAGGGATGGCTTTATTTATAGGTTGAATTTGTCACAGTGAATATTTGTTACTTTTAAAACTTAAGGGAAAAGGAACTATTTCTGTTCTGAGAAGAGCCTATTGAATGTGTGTAGTTAAAAACAAATGAAATCCCTTTTGGGACTTAGGCAGCAGGAGAGAATGCTCTTGGTCAGGGGCCTCCCTCTTGGCACCTTGACAGTGTGTGAGCACCTTTCTGTCCTGTGTGTTTTAAAGTGCTTTATCCTGACAGCAGTTAACCTCTCAAATGAATAGAATGGCATTTCTCTGTTATTCTCTCTCCTTTTATTTGTATATGTAAAATGTGACATTGTTGCAATAATTCCTTTTTTCTGGTTTTATTTTCAGGAAGACTTTGATGTCAGTCACTTTGTGTCTGACTGTCCCAAGCCAGTCCAGCTGGAAGCTCTTAGAGATGACCTGGATCTCTACTATAAGCTGCTTAAAACAGCCATGGTTGAGCTCATCAACAAGGACTATGCAGACTTTGTCAACCTGTCAACAAACCTGGTAAACTTGAAATCCACAGTTCCTACCTGTCAGTGTATTTACACATGTACTGCACACTTTTTTTCTCACTCATGTTTATTCTTAACAGCTCTGAGTCTTTTTAGAAACCTTTTAGTTATTTTTCCCCGAGAAACTTGAAGGGATTGCTAATTTTGATTAATAAAGGAACTAAACTTTCTTGATACACATGTTCTGTGTTTAGTTTAGTTTGATTATTTTTTGAATGACTTATTAAGAAGTGGTGAAATTAAGGGTAGCAATACCAAGAGTGTTTTTGTTAGTTGCTAATTGATTCCCATGAAATCTCTCCAGTTTAGACTAATTTCCGAGAGCAGATATCAACTCTTCCTAAGGAAATGTTTCATTTACTTTCAGGTACATGTGCTAGCCAGAGATAGGTTGAGAAAACATTGGCCAATATTGATCATTAAGAAGCCTATTTTTATACATTTTTATAAAAATGTAGGAATTGTTTATAAGAAGCATATCAATTACCTGGAAAAGTTGTTTAGAAATACTTGAGTTTTCATACTTGCGAAAGTCTTGTTCATATTTTGTTTTTAAGTCTGTTTGTCAAAAGAGGTATGGAAAATAGCCATCTCTTCGGGAATGTCAAGAAGCATTGAGAATAATGAGCCATATTTGCTTTTGGGAAATACACCACTAAGATAAATGTTCCAGTAGTATTAGAGACCCTGAAAATTTTATTTCCATCCTATTTAATTTGGATTTTTCTGAAGGGTTGTAATAATGCTTAGGAGAGATGTAGTCCATCAGACCTTCATATCAGCTGGTTGAATATCATAAACAACAGAGATAGCTATTTTTCCTGTTAGTTTTTTAAGTCATTTAAAATTTCACCCAAAGGCAAATTGTGCATAGGAATTTTTCATTTATTATGACTTTCCTTACTTTTATAGTTCTTATATATCAACAGGTTTTTCACATTCAGTGAGCAGTATTTATGGCCAAATAACATTTTTGTTACATAGTTACTAGCAGCATATAATTGTACAGAAAGAATAACCTAAGTCTAATACTGCTTTGATCATTAAGCATAGGCTTCACTGTTAATCCTGGCTCTGATGTGTCTGTGCCAACATGATTTTGCCTTTAGGCTGGTTTGGACAAGGCCCTCAATCAGCTTTCTGTGCCTTTGGGACAGTTAAGAGAAGAGGTTATGGTACATCCCCAAATAACAGTCAACAATCTACAATAAAGCATATTACACTTGTTTGCCTTCTCCAAGAATTCTTTTATTAATCTGTTAGATTGTTGTGATTGTTGTGGTTGGTGTTTTTTAATGTTCCATGATTATAGTATAATACTTTCAAAATGTAAATGATTTTCATGTGATATTACAACCTAAGAAACATGCTTGGTTTGAAGATGGCAAATTCTCAAGAGCAGACACTTTTAAATGTCGAGAAGGAGGAGAAGGGTATTTCAAAATTTAAATTTGTTAATACCACCTCACCCATGTATAAGTGGTCTCCAGCTTAGAACTGGCTTACTTATGTTTTAAAATTTGTCATTTTACAGGTATTTTCCCAGACAATATTTTATATGTAGTTAGATTCATGGACCAGTTTATACCAGCCATTTAACCCCTGATGTAACTGAAGGGTATTATAAATGTTGCATAATACCTAGTTTCTCTGAGAAAATCTCTCCCTTGGGAATGAAACTGTCTGCCCCTAAGCCATGAGAACAGGGACTTCATCCGGGTGAACAGTGGAGAGGGAGTTTTGGTATCACCTCCAGCAGAAAACTGCCGCCCTGTCCTCCCCTCACCCTCTAGGTTGTGCTAGGCACCTTGACCTCCATCCTCCCTTCCTTGTGAAGCACTGCACTGTCACTTCCTGTGTATGTCAGCACTAGACCATGACAGAACACGTGGCCTTATGCTCCTTGCCTCGAGACAGTACCTGGCACATGCAGGGTTCTCAGTAGATAATGTAGTAAAGAGGTTCTGCTTGGATAAAGCTGTAGGAAATGCAGGACAATGGGAATGTCAGGGCTGAGAAGTCCCGAGGACGGTAGGCAAGAAAAAATTCTTAAAAAAGTTAAGTTGTGGGGGAGGAGCCAAGATGGCGGAGGAATAGGACAGGGAGACCACTTGCTCCCCTACAAATTCATTGAAAGAACATTAGAACGCTGAGCAAACTTCACAAAACAACTTCTGACCACTAGCAGAAGACATCAGGCACTCAGAAAAGCAGCCCATCATCTTCGAAAAGAGGTAGGACACTATACAAGATAAAAAGAGAGACAAAAGAGTTAGGGACAGAGACCCATCCCAGAAAGGGAGTCATAATACAGGAAGTTTCCAAACACTAGGAAACCCTCTCACGGGCGGGTCTGGGGGAAGTTTTTGAATCTCGGAGGTCAACCTACTTGGAGGAAAAATAAATAAAACTCACAGATTACATGCCTAAAAGCAACTCCCAGCAGAGAAGTACCCCAGACGCCCGCCTCTGCCACAAGTAAGTGGGGGCGGAACAAAGAGGAACAGGCGGCATTGCTTAGGGTAAGGACCGGGCCCAAATGCCCTGAGGGCAATTGTAGGGAGCTAACATGAGATAGCAACTTAAACTGTGGGATAGCAAGAGAGAGAGAGAAAATTAACCGGCCTGAACACACTGCCAGCCATTCGCAGAACAAAGGGACTAAGCAATTCCAGAGAAGAGCTAGCCGGGCTGCAGACCAGCCCATCCCCACCGGAGACAGGAAGCAGTGGGGAGAGGAAGGGGGCAAACTCAGGCCCCAGAGACAGCACCCCTACCAAACTGCAAACAGGCCTCCAGTTTCTAACCAAAGACTTCCTGAGATTCTGGATGGTCGACATCTGCTGGAAGGGTTGCGGTTAGAGGCCAGCTCCCCAGAAAAGACAAAAGGCGCATGCACCTGACTGGCGTGTGGAGACTGAGGCTGGGACCGGGGATGGGAGAAGGCGCACTGTACCCAGGGAGAGTGCGCCCATCAAGCTCCTGGCTGCCTGAGCTGCTAGGGCGGGGAAGGCAAAAAACCCAGGCCCAACCAAGTCCGGGCTTTTGTGGAATACCCGAAAACTGGAACAGCACGCAACACAGGGCCTGCTCCCTATAGAGCAGCCTGGAGCCTGAGCAGTGTAGACGGGGAGAGCACACACCTGTGAGCGGGGCAAACCCAGTGTGGCCAGAACACTGTGAGAGCTACCCACACACGCCA